CAGTGCGGAAGAAGCTGTTATGGAATCTGCTGGACCTGCTATAATAGCACATTCTCTGGTTGAATATTCAGGGTTGCTGTTCATCTGGTTAGCCTCTATCTCATCCTGTAGAATCAATAATCCCATGTTGTTCACATCACGTTGATGTGATCAGGGTGATGAAACGTGTTGTTTTTTCTCAACAAATGGTAGTTTACACGTAGGTCGGAAAGCTAAATTTTGGTCTTATTTCTTATTCTTAGATAAAATGAAATTTCCATTTGTACAGCTCTCATGCCAATTCCATTTTCTTAAAGCGCAGCAGCGATCGAATGTAAACACTGGAGAAAAAAAAAAAAAAACACGGGGCAAAAAAACACATTTCATATGGTCCAGTTTGATGCAGAAACTGTGATTAATTTACAGTTTTTTCAGCTTTATTTTTTTCTTTTCTTTTTCAACATTCAGCAGTCTAATGGCAGTGGGGAAGAAGCTGTTTAGGAATCTGCTGGATCTGCATTGAATGCATGGTGGGGGTGTGAGGGGTTATTTCGCCGTGGTGCATTACTTTGCTTTTTTGTTCTGTTTCCTATGGCTTTAAAATATTTTCAAAGTAATGGCTTCCTGCCCATATTCCACAGAGTTCAGAGATTTTGGTATATAAAATAATCACACTAGTGTTCTTGTAAATAGATTGTCCTACTTGAGCTGCTGACCTCCGCAGCTTCTCCTGAGTTATCATCAGCATATTTACCTATTCTTTATTTCTAACTCTGTCCTGCCTGTCACCCCAGATGGACGAGTATAGCTTGATTGCTAAGCAGCAGTGCTGGACAATTTCCATTTTTAAACAAGGGTTTAAACACTTTTTTTGTAAGATAAATAAAGTTTGGGATGTTGCTACCCAGATAGTCATATAGCTTAGTGCATAGTGCAATAATCCAGGTCAACTACTGTGTAGTCTTTTTAATTTCCACTTATTAAATTGTCAGTACATTTCTGCAGTGCAAGTGCAATAACCCAAGTCAACTACTATGTAGTCGTCCCTTACCTATCTATATATCTAAACAAAGCGTATTCCAGAACATTACAACTTTTTTCTTTTTTTTAAATGTTTTTTTGGTACTATATACACTCTTTTTATATTGTCTGTTGTATTTGTATCTTTAATGGCATTTTGCCCTAACTGTTTGTACTCTATATAAGCTACTGGAAACCGAATTTCCCAGAAGTAGTTATAAATAAATGAAAGATAAAGTTAAAATTAAGTCTAAGCTTTAAACACACATAGCCATACTTTGCCTGACTTCCTTGTGAACGTAAAATCCTCATCAAGTTAGAAATGAAGTTTATTGCAATAGGAAGATAAAATGTAATAACATTTATATATATTTATTTATATATATATATACCAGGCAGTGCGGTTGAAAAGGTCTCCTTTATGATAGTGTAATCTGACAAGTGCATCTATGGATGTTTGCATGTTTTCTTCCTCTTCATAATAGCCACATGAATCTCACTTTGTTGCTATGTGGAAAGCAATCACCTCTATTTGTTGCTGGATGGATATCTAAAGCAACCCATTTGCTGACTGTCAGCTAAATCCCTGGCTGTAAAACCTCAGCATTTCAGATGTAAAACGGCTCTTCTCTCTTCGAAAATGTAGCTTATCAGTCATCTTTACAGCAGCCTAGATTCCCACACATGTCCCAAATCACCAAAGTGACATCCGCTTGGTAAAAGCACAAGATGATTTCCAAAGATAACAAATGTTTTTTTTACAGAGGAAGGCTTGGTGGAGGCTGTATTTATAACGGCTGGCCAGGACAGGTGTAGACTGAAGATGAACAACATGAGATCATCGCTCCAGCTTGCCGCTGTATTGCTCTGCGTGCTGTGTGCGGCACACGTTCAGGCTCAGGAGAAGAGAAACTCGCTGAGGCTCTGTGGCCGGGCCCTGGTGCGAGCTTTGGTGTTCACCTGTGGGGCGTCCAGATGGAGAAGACAGCTGGAGGAGACGGGGTTCCTGCCAGACGGTACGTGACAATCAGCTTTATAAACTGATGTTTTAGCTCAGATCTAAACTTTAACTTTGATTTATTTCTGTTCTTCTACAGTTTTTTGGGCAGAAAACCAAGAAGAGACAGACTTCCTGAAGGCAAGTGATGCTCCAGTGGATTATCATCGGAGGGACCAGGACCAAGCTCTGATAACAACATGCTGTCAAAAAGGCTGCAGAAGAAGTGAGCTGTCCATGCTGTGCTAGAGAGGACGCTGTTGCTCTAAAATGTCAACATTTGAGTCCAAAAAGGTTTCTGTAATTCTATGATTTACCTTTCTAAGCAGAGAATTAAAAAAGCATCATGAATGTTTGTCCTAAGTTCTTCTTTAATTTTCACAATTTAACCAAGAGAAACAAATTACTAACGAATGACAGATTTCCTGTGAGTTACTCAAAATAGACGGCGAATACAGTGGCACAGCAGAACAGAGAATCGTTTTTAAAGGAGTGAGATGCGAAGGTGTCGGTGGACGGGTCCCACAGAAAGCCGCTTCTGGTTTGTATCCCCTGCCCGATGATCTGGCCGATGTGGACTTTGACCACAATTCTGTATCTGGGGATCTGAAGCTGCTTCACACGGTTCTTTATCACCTTCAACGGATCAAAAAGAGGTTTTCTGATTTAGCAGATGTTCAGGTAGAATTTAAAAGACTTCCCTTCATTTTCACCTACTTCACAGAGAGTTAGGGTCAGTTCTCTACTGCGCTGTGCTTCATATTTTTCTCCTTGAAGCTTGTTGTCGATTTCTTCCTTCAGTATTTTTAAGACGTCAGTGACGGGAAACGGTTTAGAGGGACCTGTTTGCACACAAACACGCACAAACACAAAAATGCTTCTTACGTTATGGATACCAAGGCACTTAAAGGTGAGAACATAAAATATCACAGAATTGTAATGCTATCTAATGGATGTTGTTAGATATTGGCAAATAAATCCGTTAAATTTTAAATAAAGATTAATTAAACTTAATTATACTGCAAACATAATTACCAATAATAATACATTGCTACAATCATCAACATCTTGTAGAGAGCAATCCTGTTTAAAAGTAGTCCTCAGCGTTGGAGGCAAGCATTAATTTAGTCCAAGATGATTCAGCTTTATCATTAAAGAACAGCAGAGGTGACATGTTTATATGTGTTTTCTACATGTGGTTTTTTATGTTAAAAAACATAGTTTCAGTTTGCATAAAAAAAAAATCCACCCTGTTAGCAAGAGAAGCTTAACCCTGAAAGTGATGGATAATAAATAAAATCCATGCAAATCTTTACATTATAAGTAACAAATTAGCTTGATTAAAGTAGATAAATCCTATCTTGACTTTATGTTAACAGTAGCAAATGCATGATAAAAAATATCTAATAAAATGAATTTAAAATTCTGCACCAGTCAGAAAAGGATTGCCTTTTGCAACAAGTAAATATTTTTCAGTTCATTCAAGTCTGTATTTTTGATATTATAACTTTTCACTACTGTTTTGATTTAGATTCAGTTTTAATGTGCAGACCAGTTTATCTTACTGTTGAAGAGCCAAGAATGGTAAATTAGACGGTGCTAATGCCTTGCAGGAACAAGGACATAGATTTGATCCCAGACTACCACCTTTCTATATGGAAAATGTTTTAGGGTTATATTGTAGTATGGAAATAATAAGTAGACGTTACCCAATTTCTGCAAGATTTTTATTGCTATTAAACTTACATTAACATACATTTTACTAATAAACATTTTAAAAATTGTTACCTATCTGCTTCTTTTTTTTTTACAGTGTAATACACATAATATTTTACCTTTTTTCCTAACAGTTTAAAATAATTTTTATTATTTCACAAACCATTTATATCTTAATTGCAAACCTTATCTTATATTTTTTGTTTTGTTTTGTTTATTTTGTTTTAACCTAGAGACTAAACCGGTCGTTGATTTTTTTAGCTGGTAAATTTGAATTATTTCTACTAAAAGACTTAGACTTAAACAAACTTTATTGTTATTTTGTATACACAGAGTGTTTACAAAATGAAATTTCAATGCATATAGCTTTCCGACAGTGAAATGAACATTACCATTTATAAAGTGCAACAGGGATGAAGAATGTAAACGGTGTCAGAGAAAAGGAAAGCCAGTTGAAAGTCATGGTGCAAAATGCATTGATATGGAAAGGTTCAGTGCAGTGCAAAATAAATAAATAAATAAATATGGTGCAAAATTCGGAGCGTATATGGGTCATTCCATGGAAAGTGTAAAGATTGGACCTTAGAATTTAGAGGTTTTTGATCATGACCTTTTTTTATTTTATTTTTTATTTCATAGCCTGTAGAACATGTAACACTTGCAATAAAACACATTTTTCAAGCTCAGACACCATTTTCTGCGAATATTTTAGCACATTATATCCAGGGAACAGAGTTTCCTTTTCCACCCCGTCACAGGACAAAGGTTAACAAATTAAAGGGTAATTTTAGATAAAAGTAAGACAAACAAGATGTTATTCACTTCAAAAAGCGTCTTTTTTTTTTTTTTTTTTAAACCAATAGTGTGTTCAAAGTGTTTTTTTTATGTGATTTACAGCATTAATTCAATCACCATGATTCCAACCCGTCACAGGCTTTAGTGTGACGGGGTGGAAAATCTAAAGCATTATGGCTCAATTTCTGGATATGTTAAAACCTGATGGTGCCGTTAGCATTGAAGTACAATGAAAAATGAATGATTAATACAAATATAATTTCAAAATTTGATTAACAAATTGTTTCCCCCCACTTTTTGTGTGTGACGGGGTGGATATGCTATGGTTAACAGAAAGGATTTTGTAGGAAAAATGTACCAAAAATGTTCTTAAAGAAAAAACAGAACCCATCATTGTTTCGACTTCTCTTCTTCAAACTCTTGAATGATGTCACTTCATGTTAGCAATGTCACTTCTAGGAAGTTTATTGCATTTTGGCACAAAATAACATTGGTGTGACGGAGTGGAATATGAAATTGATGGACATAGAAAAATCATGCTATTTCAATAAAAAAATATGAAATTTTAATATAATTAACACATTTCCTATTAAGAGGAAAGTATTTCTAACCATAACAACAAAACATTTTTGAGATTTATTTTATATTTCTTAAGTTTTACATTACATGAATGAGAAAAATGGTCAGAGCGGACATGAGAAAATGATTGCAGTTTAACATAAAAAAAAGTTATAAACGTGCAAAATATATATTTATTATTCAATTTTATTTGACCTCATGCTACCAACTAAACTTGAATCAGTGGCTTTAGACACTTAAAGTATTTCTGACAGTTTTATTATGCTTCCTATTCCTCTTTGATTGTTATGGACCCAAACTTAACAGTTTTCAGGGAATGACCCATTTATACATATGATGTATATATATACTTTTTTTTTTAGCAGAAATTATTTACCCATGTACACAAAATTAATGTAAATTTAACTGTTTCTTTTTAAAGCGTAGCTGGTTATAATGAGTTTCCCTGAATGTGGCTCATTCTGTACATGGATAAAAAAGGTTGATATCTTAAAATATTGATATTCTTCTAATTGCTGCTATTCCAGTTAGCCGCCATGTGAAAAGCAGGCTTCAAGTTGTTAAGCTGTAGTAAGTTCGCCATTTCTGATAATCATAAATAGAATATTTATTCCCCAGGTGCTCAGTTTTTATACTGTTAAAACACTTCATAGTACAGTATTTTATTTTTTATTTTTTAACTCTTCATAAATATGTTATTCTTATACATTTTTCTAAGGTCCATATTTGTGTGACCAATTTTTCTATAATATTTTTGCTGCTGTAAACACCAGAATTTTCCCCTTTGTGGGAAAATAAAGGGATTTTCTCTTATTCTATTCTTTTCTATTATGTTCTGTTCTATTATATTATATTTTATTCTATTCTAGATGATCTCCATTTAGTTGAATGTTTGTTTACCCAGTGGATGGGTGGGATCCATCTCTGCCGCATGGAGATCTTCATGGTTCCCTTGCTCATCCAAACCATAATCAGTGATCATAGGGCTGAGCATCACCATCAGTTAAATGTGATGGAAAAAAGAGAGAACAATGTGAGATTGGTGAATCGCTTATGAAAAAAAAAACTGATAAAGAGTTAAAATGAGCAAAAACACATGGTTGAAACTTTACTCCTCAGTTCCACCAGCTTTTTCTTTGTCCCTGGTTCCATCTGCAGGCATTTTATCAACTTTCTTTTCTTGTTTCTCTCGTTTGTCTCTAACTAGATCCGCCATCACTTCTTCATCAGATTAACCTGGGAAATTACTATTAAAACGAAGCAAGATGAAGCTGATTCAGAGCCGCGGCTCTGAACACGTTATTTGCACATTGTTTTGAATTTAAGTAAAAACATCCCGATAAACTCTTAAAAAAAAAAAAAACATACAAGAAAAACTTATCCCGATAGTAAAGTGAAAAACAAACAATCTTGAGGCCGCAGCTAACCTCAGTGGCTCGTATCCAAGGCTATATCCTCTTCAAACTTCACACACGATCTTAAATGTAATAGTTTGAATATTTACAGCATGTAGAGTAGGCTAATACTAGCCGATTAAAATGATTGCCCTTACACGAAGACGCTACGGTAGTCATAGCAACCATGATTCCTCGGTGGGCGGAGTCAGGAAGGCGGAAGCTGCCTGTGTTCTTGGAGTTTATTTCATGTATTCGTGTTTCAGTGCGGACTGTGATAAAAAAAAAAAAAACCTTAGCTATTTCATAATGATGAGATACTGTCCCATTATAATGAGATATTATCTCAATACTATGAGAAAGTATCTTCAATTCAATTCAGTTAATTTCTATACCGCCAATTCGAAACATCTGTCATCTTAAGGCACTTTAGATTTCACCAAATCATCCAGTCGAATTGATTCAAAGTTTTCTATCTAAATAAAACCAGTTAATTGCATCGACTCATTGACTCGAAAGCAATCCCTCACACTAAGCATGCTTGTAGCGACAGTGGAGAGGAAAAACTCCCTTTTAACAGGAATAAACCTCCAGCAGAACCAGGCTCAGTGTGAGCGGCCATCTGCCGAGGCAGACTGGGGTTCAAGGAGACGGAAGCAGAGATACAAAAAGCAGCTGTAAAAGGCGCTCCGTCCAGGAAACACACAGCCAGGCAGACGAGCTCAGAGCCAGCTGCCATGTCAGAGGATGAAGAGAGCACATCCAGCCAGTCACAGTCAGAGAAACAGGACTACACTGGAAAACAGGCTGATCTCCAACATCTATAAACAAAGATGTTGATGGCAGCAGCAGGGCCGGAGCTAGATGGGGGACCAGGCCAATCATTGGCCACCCCAACCATTTTTTCCCTCTAATACAGATGGTGGCAGCAGTAATACTCTTAAGTGGAATATTCAAAACATTTTATTTTTTTGTGGTTAATTATACACATCAATATACTAACATCAAAGATGATAAATACAGAATTCATGCTCTTTTCAGAACTAGATTTGGTGTTTTACGGGGTAAAGAGAAAATTATGTGTCTCTGCAAATCATCTAGGGGTCTTCAGTGAAATCAAAGATAAATAACAATTTTAATAAAAACTTATCAAATCATCAATTTATGTATATATTAATGCTTGTAAATATACATTTTATGCAGAATGTTTATTGATAAAAGTAGGTAATGACAATGATGATTGATTTACACCCCAGAACTCAAAACTGAGTTTTATCTGGCGAATATATGCGTGTTTTTGTTAGCAAAGGCTTTAGGAAAGTATTAGTCTTTATTTAGAAAATATGGATGTTTGTTGGTTCATTTTCCTGTTGGAACAGAGTAGATTGACCCTGAGGTTCTGGTGCCTATCCGCTTTCGGCCACCCCTCAGTGAACATTGGTTATTACCTGGCCGCCCTTATAAACAATTTTGGCTATACCTCTGGGCAGCAGCACAGCTGATATTTCTCTCCAGGATGGAGTCACAGCCAAACATGAGCAGCTGAGGCGAAAATACTTTGAGAAAAAGCAGAGAGAGCAGAATGTTAGAGATTGAACTGAATAGAGATCTTATTATGAACAGATACCTAAGTCGTAATGTTTAGATATAGGCTTCTGCAGTTTAGCTCAAGTTTTAGTTAAATGTAATTTATTTTCTATATATATATATATATATATATATATATATATATATATACATAGAAACCTTGTGGTTATTTCCCTCCCGTCAAATACATCAATAAGTATAAAACTTTGTAATAGGCAAAAGGATTTTCAACTAACAAGTTAATAAATTGCATACAATTTTATTCAGTAAAATCTATATAATCTCTTTCTTTAAATTTTTTTGTGTGAAAACCCCAGAGATGAAAAATCCCAGATCAAAATGGTCTGAAATACCCAGACAATTCACCCACCTGTGGACCCTTTGCTCCAGCTAGTCGACTAGATAGAAGATTAGAGATTCTGTCTATTTTTAGGTTGTTAAAGTTAGTTTTTTCCCCTCATTTCTTTTGTGAATCTATTCCTGAACATACAATGATTTGCAAATGATTCAACTTTTACACATGTAAATTAAGATAATTTACATGTCTATTTTTATATTTGATTTAATTACATGTGATTTAATTTAATATGTGATTTAATTTAAGATTTTATTTTATTTTATTCCCCTTTGGGATTAATAAAGTATTTTTGAGTTGAAATTGAATGTAATTAAAAAACAATTGAATCATTTCTATCTATCGAATATTGTTGTTGGCTACTTTAGTTTTTTGCACATGAAAACTTTTCACATCGGCTTTTTGAAATCAAACAAACAAAAATAATAATGCAATTGACCCCTTTCAGTAGCCTACTTATGAGAGCCTCTATTTCAAACCTGCGACAGCGCCCCCTAGAGTCCTAGCAACAATATATATATATATACATTTTTTTTCAAAGAAAGTTAAATGATTGCACATGAGACAGTATTAACATTCCAAGTTTATAACTTCTGGGCTTCATGAAAAGAGACAATAGGGAAGAAAATATATATTAGAGCATGTAGACCCTACATGTTGAGATGTTTTTCATTCAAATACATTTCTTCGTTTTGTGCAAAGTGAAGATACACGACATAAATATAAAATCAAGCAGGCTATAGTCATGCATTTAATTGCTATGGGGTAACTGCTTGTATGGAGAGGATGTGTTGTTCATTTTTAAAGGTAGAAATGACAGTTTAGTACCTCTAAGTTTACCTTTATGTATTAGAAAAACCTGGCCACAAAAATAATTAGAATAATTATATATAACATATCTAATTTTACAGTTCTCTTTAATGCCAAACAGTATATTCTTTCAGAATAAAATTAAATATTTATCTAATTTAATTAAGCAAAATGTGTCATGCCAAAAGGACTTGATGAATTACCAGTTCCAAAACAGATGAGCAGATTTTTCAGGATTATTACAGATATTTGACACCCAGTGCAACAACTATATATATATATATATATATATATATATATATATATATATATATATATATACATAACATGCACCATTTTCTTCTTTTGGCACATTCTTCTACTTTGATTATTTGAGCTGATATAACGAGTACATTTCTCCACTGTGAGATCAATAAACTCAGTCAATTAATTTATCTTCTTTTTTTAAAAAGCGTTTCTGGGGAAAAAAAAAAAAAAAAGGTAGGATAAGGATCAAAGTCCGCACAATCCTGATCTCTGCGCCACCATTAAATAAACCACAAAACACGCTCCTTTTTTAATGCTATTTTCTTTTTAATTAATGAAATCTTATATCAAATCACTGCACCATACATAACCAAAGAATAAAAATTTAGAATCCATAAAGTAAAAATTTCTGCAGGTCCACCCAGACTTGGATCCTTGTTACGTAAACACGTAGAAACGCGGAAACTGTGCGTAAAGCGAAAGCTTCCAAGCTCCTTCACCGCTGCATCTCTGCGTCAGGGTCAGATCAGCCAGCCTGCCTCACAGCTTTCAGGTAACATTCTCCTTTTTAATTAGACGCTAATTGCTTCAGGTAAACGCTTCCAAACTAATTTCTGTTTCTGCTGCTGTTGTCATTCGACCTTCCGCCTCCCATTCGTCCTTGCTCAGTCATTTTCTTCGCCTCCAGCCTTCTGTCCACTTTCATTTTCTGCCCACTTGCGCCTTGTCACAACCTACAGACCTGCTTTGCGTCTTGTTTGAATAAATTATTCTAAATCTAAAAAAATAAGCCTCAAATGTTGGCAACTTGCATTTAGTTTTTAACTCTATTTTTTTATTTAATTTTTTGGTTCTTTCAGGTTTTCCAAAATGGGTGCGCTTTCTAAGGAGTATGGGTTCGTTGTGCTCACTGGCGTTGCCAGCATGATCATGATCGGACACCTGGGCATCAAAGTGGGGAAAGCCCGCAAGAAGTATAACGTCCCGGTGAGTTTGAGTGACCTTACTTCTTTGTTACCTTGCTGTTTCAAAAAAAAAAAAAAGGTTTAATCTTACAGATAATCTCTTCCAGTACCCACAGATGTACAGCAATGATCCAGAAAATGGAAACATCTTTAACTGCATCCAGCGTGCACACCAGAACACGTAGGTATCAGTTGCCATCAGAGCAGAGGCCCTGCACACACCTGCCATTGATTCAGGAAGAAAAAAAAAAGCAGGTGAAGGTTAAACAGCTCTTATCACCTTTCAACAGGCTAGAGATGTACCCGGCCTTCCTCTTCTGCCTGGCTGTTGGTGGTTTGCACAGACCTGTAAGTTACTTGTTTTACTTCACACTACAGTTACCCCCCAACCTCATAAGGGTTCTATAAGACAGATCCTGGATCAGATCACAGCAGTTAAAGCATGTCCCTCTGGATGTTTGCATGTTTCTTTCACAGCGTCTAGTGAGTGGGCTTGGACTTCTGTGGATTGTTGGCAGAGAGGTGTTTGCTCATGGATACTCCTCAGGGGGTAAGATGCAGCTGTACAGAAATCCCTTCACTCAGTTAAAAAATAATTGATTGTGCTAAAATGATCTATCCTTTTAATGATCAGATCCAGATAAAAGAAGGAGGGGCATGTTTGGCACTCTGGCTTTAATGGGGATGATGCTGACCACTTTGAACTTTGGTCGTCATCTGCTGGGCTGGACAGGACCGCCACGCCTGGGGTTCCGTGGTGCATCCTGCCACTAATGAGGATGAAGAGAGAAGCATCACAAGCCTTTTTATTCCAATCACACTAACTTCATGTAGAATAATGCTGTATATCCTGCAGCATATATGCTCAACTCTGACCTGCATAACAGGTTAAGTTAATGCTTGAAAGTAACTGGACTGGTTTCTTTGTGAACTCCACTCCTATTATATCACTATTTTTATTACAATGGCTGTAGTTGTATGGCTTCTAATGTGTAATTTTTGCAATAAAGATAAACGTCTTTGTCACAACGTTATCTCCATTTGCATTTGTGAAGCTCACAAATTAATAATTTTCTCTGATTATTGCAATGTGCAAAGTTTCTTCTTTTTTCTTTTGAACTTAACTGCACTAAAGTCAGCCTAATGAGGGTTATTATTCAAAAGGAGTATACTAAGGCGTTGCATTGAATGTAAGGGTGTGTGTGACATGGGTGTGTTTATGGGGAGTAGCTTTTTTTTTCTATTAAGTAAATGTTTGAAGTCCAACATGTCTGATCAGGTAAGAGTAATAATTCATTAGATAGTTATAAATCTTGGTTACAGCTCGGACTGGATCAAAGCAGTTTGTACTAGGTAAAAAAGAAAAGCAGTAGGCTTATCTTTGGTTTCATTTTTTTATTACTAAACATGTAATCTTTTTATATCATTCAGTTATTTCAACATTTACAATCCTTAGTGGCAGTAAAACAAAGTGGGGCCCAAACTCTGGTATAGAACCTTGTGATATTCACACCTCTTCAACTTTTTCACATTCGCTTTCATGTTAAAACCACAAATTATACACCTATAAACTGAGATTTCTGTTTCGCATGCCTAGTCATTAAAGTTTGCAAGATTTACACCTGCAAAATGGCTCCAGGGCACTAAAACAGGATATAGAGCACCTGCAAACGACGTTTCTTTTTTCTTTTAGGCCACATATTTTCAGTTTGCTTTGGATTATTATAGGATCACTGTTCTACTCTGACCATAACTCCCACAGCATGATGCTGCCACCACCATGTTTCCCCTTCACAGAGGGTGTTCAGGGTAACTTTTTTTTTTTTGCATGTAAGCAGGAATGTTTAAATTTGGTCTCATCTGACCAGAGCATGTTTGTTGTATCACCTGCATTGCCTTGTACCAAGACTCTAATGGCTTTTTTTCTGCCACTGCCATAAAAAAGCCAGATTTGAGAAGTGCATGAAAAATAGTAAAGCTGTGGATATTTGGTGCTCCTCAAACATTATGGATCTCTTGGTTCTTTCTCTGATAACACTATTTTTGCCTGACCCGTTAGCTTGGGTTGGCAGCCATAGATCTGGAGTAAGGTCATAGTATGTAACAGTAACAACACTTCGATAGATGTTATAGAATCCTTAACTACTAAAGAGATCACTTGTAAATTAAGTTGATCTGGGTTTTATTTACTTACTTGACTTTATTTAAAGGAATTAAAGCGCACTGAATCCTTTCTTTTGTCAAATTTTCGCCGTTTGTGGTTTGTAGCATGACAAAATGAGAAAAAAGTTAAACGGGTATGAATGCTTTTTGCTAAACACGCTTGAATCCAGGAAGTTTATGGCACTTTAACAGAAACAGACAAGGAAAAAAAAAACTCATCAAGGTTAAAAAACTTCTCATATGCTGACAGCACTTAGATTTTTATAGCAGGTTTATTTCTCAAGGAGCTTCGGCACATTTAACATTCAATCTAAGGAACAACCGTCAATACTCAGGATCTATTTTGCAACATTAAACACCTTCACACATTCCCTAATTTACTAATTTTGAGGTTACTGGTGTGTATGACTTAATACTGAAAAGTGGAAATCTTTTTATTTGTGGAGTTTCTACATCATGCAGCTTTAAGGCAGCAGTTTGATTTGAAAGTGCACTTTACTTCTACTTGGTCACCTAAAGCATCTCAAGTGAAATTTCTCAGTCTGTATGGACAGCATCTCATCCTCATCACATTGTATATGTATATACAATGTATATGTCATATTTAATACTAAATGACCTGAGGTGTTTGTTTTTATGCATGAATCTACATTATCTTCCATGTCCACTAGAGGGCAGTCTTCTGTCACATTAAAAACGTTATTTGTGCAAAGATGCCACAAATTTCAGGTTTGGTTGAAAGATTTAAGTCGTCAGGAATAAGAAGGGAATGTGGAACAGATATTAAGTGACTCTAAAACCTTTGATTTAAACAACAATAACTAAATAACTAAATCTGTTCTCCAGTGAGTCTTAAACAGAGAAGTTAATAAATGAGAAAAAGCTCCTTTGAAGGTCATGTTTCTTCCAACATGGCCTTAGTTGCTTGATCTGCATATGTTCTCTGCAGGGTGCAAGTGAAGGAACGGACAGGAGCATCCATCAGTGGGCGTACGGGGAGAGGGGCGTGTCTTCCATCAAATCGTCCTAGAAAAAGAGTTTAAAATCAAAATTAACACAATGATCTCAAAAGAAAACAATTCCTCTCTTACCATAGACTGTCATCAGAGAGGTTTGTCCTTTAATTTCTGTGTGCAACATTTAAAACATGACATACTTGTGCATACATATAACAAGACAATATGTATCAACATGGTAATAAAAGCAGCATTAATAATCATCAACCAAGTAGAAATATCACCATCCTGGCTTAACTGCAAGTGCAGCAGTAAATGGAAAACACCTTTTGAGGAACACGTCAACACACTGCGCCAGTCGCATCTTATCTAACAAGCTAAAACAACTCTGTTTATATTCAATAAAAATGGTGCAGCACTGGTAAGAGGAACAATACAGCACACTTACCAAGCCCTGACTTCCTTACATGTCGCTCTCCATTGTTTACTGTCCTGATTTCTGTCGCTACATTCAATGACTCCATGCAGATAGCTGGATTTTCCTTAGAAAACTTTTAACCAATT